ACTGCAGTTTACTAACGATTTTAAAATTGCTTTAAGGGTTTAAAACTGAATCACGACCACTTCATCACAGCTGAGATTCAGCATGCAGATCTCACATCGGGCATACATTTGAGTTTCAGGTTAAATAAATTCAGCCTCTTTTATTTTAGAACTAGAAGAATGTCTTGTTGACTCAGGACTCTAGTTGTGTTACCTGGAGCTGAAAGAAGTCAGTTCAGCGTAATAATTTCTACAAGGTATTAATTGGAAGTTTGCTGGGAAGCGGCTCACTATATTGTGTACAATGCTAAGAAACATGTTTAAACTTAACGGGCAATGTTGTTTCCAAGTGCGCTGATTCTGATGCCTCTGTGCACGCAGTCAAGCCCAGGGCTATTTGGAAAAGCATACATGAAGAATTTGTGGAGAATTCTGGCTTCTAAGAACCTGCTCAACAAGATGCTACCACGAAGGCTAGACACCTTTGATGTGAGCGCTAAGGCCTCCTCCCGCCGCTGCCTGCCCTGCGATCTCCATTCACTCAAAATACCCACACACAACGGTGCTCTGATGTGACAAGTACACCAAAGGAAAATCACCACCTCCTTCTCTCCTTTATGCTAAATTCTGTTAGACTCTAAGGGTAAAGGAGTCCATTTTGTGCCTCTTTACCAAAGACAGTATGTATTGAAATACATTTCCCCTTATCTTCTCCTCTCTTCCCAATCTAGACTCAAGCAAGATTGAACCGATCAGTCGAGAAAATAAATGAAAATGACATACACCATATTGAACTAAGTGTCATGATTCCCCATTTCTGAAGACCCAGGGTTCATAATGGGTCCAACCTCATCTGCCTGACTCTCACACAGTAAGATGAATTATTCTTAGCCACTCCTTCACTTTTAGGAATAAATAGGATCTGAGAGACACATCCACATAATTCTCCATACTTGTTTAAAACTATATAATTCCAAAAATATACCATCTTAACCCTCAACATACATACTTAAATATATATGTTTTCTCTACTACATAATCAATTGATCTATCCATCTCTCTCTCTCTCTCTCTTTCTCTTGGGTCTTCTGTTGGGTATCTGCACACCCAGGATTCCGGAGATCGGAAAGTCTGTCACAGCTGGTGTGAGGCCTCTTATATCTGAGACCCACTCTGAAGATGAACTGTTCATATGCTTGTGGTCCGGAGCCCAAATATGCACAGAGACACCCTAGATTCTATCACTTGTGAAATCCTGTAAAAGGTACTAAACAAAACATTATGCTGACAAGTGAAGTCGTCCTATCAGCAGGTTATTTCATTAGGGCTCCCTGGCCTTCCCATCAAAGACCCAACATGTTTTTAATCAGTGGTTGGGAACGCCTCTAAACACACATTCCGTTATTGTCATACTATTGACTTGTCCTTAAACTGTCTCTTCAGCTCAATTCTCTCCTGTGTCACATCTGTCTGGGGTCTTTATTTCCTTTTTTTTTTTCAGCCTGAAATCTCATTAATTTGTCAAGGTACTGCAGAAGATACATTTTCTCATGAGTCCTGACATAACCACCTTAGTTCTTTGTGGTGTTTCTCATTCCTTTTAGTAAATAATCAGGATGACAATTTGACAGTTGAAATAGAGTCAGTCTATTCTTACCATGGTTGCTAGGTTTTATTCTGCTTGCATCTTTTTTCTCTAACTATATTTTACTGCAAGTGCTTTGAGAACATGGCAAAGGTTTTCAAATTTAAGTGTGGTACACTATACCTTTGTACAGCAAGTTTTACATTACACAAATTACTGGTTGGTAATTTTTTAATATGCCGATAAAACTCTGGCTCTGTATAAACCATAAATGTCACATCAGAAGTTTTCCCTATTCAATAACACTTGATGCTTCATTACCCTAATAAACCAAAAGTAAATGAAAAATGTTCCTATGACATTTTAATCCAAATATTGGATTATTCATAGTAAAGCTTCAGAATACTAGAACAAAAACTCAAAGTCACACACACCTTGGTTGTAAGTGTGTCTTCAAATTTTTGGTGTGAATTAAAATTAGATTTTATAAGCAGAGCATGAGTCATTTAGTGAAATTAATTTATTATATAATTATCATTAAGTAGCAACAGGAGAACATTATGATGCGTCAAAATTACACTCTGAAATTACAGCTTCTTTGGAACTATGCAGAATCAGTTGGATACACCTGCTTTGGAAGTTTTCCTCTTCCTTTATACTTGCAAAATCATTTTAGTTTTTATGAAAAAATGTTATTGTGTAAAGACCAGGACAATTACTGTCCTACCAAATTATGAGTGTTAAGATATCTATTTTAATTTTGATTTTAACTTTTTAACCCTGTGACCAATTTATTTATAAATGGATGTTTGTGACTCCTTACCCCCTTCATCTCTTTAACAGACCCCCTCCTGTGTGGCGACCATCAGTCTATTCTCTGTGTTTGTATGTTCTTTTATTTTATTAGATTCCACATATAAATGAAATCATATGCTTTTTGTTTTTCTTTGTCTAATTTATTTCACTTGGCATAATATTTCAATTTTTGAAGCTGAAATACAGAGACCATTTCTCAACAAATTTAAGAACTAGGACACAATGTTATAATTCCTTCAAGGAATCACAAGTGGCAAAATAAGCTGAGAAAGGAAAAATAAATTCAACTAAATTAACTAAAAATTAATCATTGTATTAATGTCTATTTTTGCATTATCAATTGTATATTTCATATGGTCTCCATTTCCCAAAAGCTAATTAAACTAAGAGATATAAGAAAGATTATTTTCCTAAATGATTTTGATATCTATTTTATCTGAAGTTGATAGATATGAATAAATGAATTTTTCACTTTTCACCAATATGTTATTATAGAGTGAAAAACTGTAATGTAATTTAATTATCAATGTGCTTAGGTTATTTGTTCAAGCTTCATATCTCTGGTCTATTATAATTGCCTTCTAATTTAGCTTTTTAGATTAAGAATCTGCCATTACAATCTACTTAATGAGAATCTTTATAAAATAAAAATCTGATAGTGCTACACCCAGCATCTTCTACAATATGGCACAAAGAAATGTTTATGATATGATTCATCTTATTTACTGAAACTATAACATGTCACATGTTCCCATTTGTCTATGCTTTTGTTCACCCAATATCTTTCCCTAGACACCTTCCAAACCCTTCCAATTTCTTTTCACCAGTATTTAGCCTTTATGAGTCCACATGAGCACATGTCCCTCTTTTATACCATATCACCTTGTTTGCTTGGTGTAATAGAAACTGTCAGTGGCCAAAGCATATCCGTCAGAGCATGTATACTCTTTAGCCAACTTTCATCTGCTAGTCAGTATTCAGTCTGACTAAATGCCCTTATATAAGAATTGTAGAGAACTGGCTTTTTGCTCCTACTGGAGTCAGGACGTATTGAAAATGTGCCCCTCTCCACAGCATTGGTGACCGAGACTCTCAGGATTTAGTGAATGAATTTGCCAATTCCATCACTTCTCAGAATCAATCATTCTCGGCATGTGTTTTCTGAAGTTCCCTACAATGTGCCCTTGGGACTGAGCTCCAGTCCTCCTCACGACCCCGATTTTGTAGCAATTCCTTTACTGGCTGCCTTGTCTTCTCTGAATCACTTCTCTAAATGCTTTATACCTGAATCTTCTGTCTACAGGATCCTTATAGAATCTACAGTAAAATTTTGGACACCAATGCTTTTCTGTGGGGAATTGAATGGCTTGTTGGCCATATGACATCAAGACCCCCCTGGCATGTTGTTAACAGCATAATTACTAAGACTCTCCCCTGTGCCAAATTGGGATGACATAAAAGTATAAGGGGGCATAGGCCTTATGTACTCTCTCTAGGATTTGAGAAAGATAGTGACAATGATAACAGTGCTATGGAGATGATAGTTGTAAGTACTGTCAGTGCACTGAGGGAACAAACCAATGGGCTCAAACTAGCCACAGAATGTTAGGGCATGGTCTGGAAGTCAGAAGGTCTGTACAACAGCATTTAATGAAACCCTTCTCTTTCGTAGCCAGAGAGAAGATTGGACTGAAAACCAGATCCTTTGTCTGACTGTAAGAGTAGCTAAATTGTAGAAAAGGTTTACTTCCAAGAACAGCAAACCTCCCATTCAAAACTCAACAGGGAAGAGTAGGACCCTGAACCCTCCATGGGATATGAGGGTGATCCACTCCTTGCTAGAGGAGGGTGGTTTCCTTTCCTGGAGATCTTGTAGATACCTTGTCTGAGGTAGATACTTCAAAATGTGTATCCACCTTCCTCAAAATTTGTCCTCCCTTTATACCTTCTAGACCATTAACTGTGTTAAAGACCAAGCATACCCCAACTGAGTAGCACTGTCTCTGCTTTAAGAAAGTGGGATTCTTTGTCAAAAGAATTACAGAAACTGGCTAATATGCCCACTTAGAATTCAGGAGAACATTCTTAGAAAGAAGTGTTGCCTATGCAAAACAAGGAAGGTGTGTGAAATGTACACAGTAGATGCTAAAGATATGTTTATGCAGCCCAATGAATTTACATTTAAATATTTGGATTTGAGGTATGCATTTTCAATCATACTTAATGGTATGGCTATGAATGTATTTCTCTAAAAGTACTTTACTGTAATTCCAGAAAGTAAAAGTATATATTAAATAAGAAAATACTCTTAAATAAACCAATGTTTAAATTACACGATGGCCATAAAATGTAAATCAACAAGCTGAGTTAAATCCAAATGGATATCATATGATATGTGGAAAATCAATCTTAAAGAGTATCCAGAACAGTGACTGAGAGTGAAAGCACTTTATTACCATCTCACCTTAATGCAAGTGATCTCACAGACCGCTTTAAATAATCCTGATGCTCCATCAGTTAACACATTGCATAAGCTGAATGTCTTTTTAAAATTGAAATGTAGGAACATATTCATTTAAAAAATACATTTTATACAGATACAGAAAAATATTCCACTTACCTTTACTTGACCCACAAAGGCATTGGCTTCTTCCTCCACCACAGACAGATTTCTAGGCAGATAGGGATCAAACATCGGAGCATTGTCATTGACATCTGTCACCACCACATTTACTGTAGCAGTTGAGGTCTTAAAGGGAAAAAAAAGGTTGAGATATGAGAAGAGTTATTTTTCTTTTGATGTCAGTTAATTGGTTATCCTGACATTTGTTTATCTGAAAAACAGCTTATTACTATTCTTATTCTTTGGTTTTTCCAAAAAGAAAAATAAACAGCAGGAAGCATGCAATGTTCAAGCACCTCAGAAAACAGATGGAAAAAGCAAATGAGGATTAATTAAAGAGCAAATACCTTGAAAATGTCAAGTATTTCCTGGAGGCTCACTTTTAGAAAATGATTCAACTTTTAACTTGTTCATATCTTATGGGTGGCAAGCTTTTGTTTATATACACATGCACCCCCTTTTCTCTGAAATGTGACATTTGTGTAGTTTTAACCATGTATTTTCATTGTTTAAATATAAAACTAGTATATCATAAAAGCACATCAAATGTGTATTTTCGGGTAAACAACTGCTATTAGAAAATACTACATAAGTAACTTTCTAGATTCACATGTAAACCAAGAGCTGAACATTATACCACTAGTTAAATGATTTTACCTTACGATTATACAGCCTAAGGAAATTGTAAGCAGGCAAACCTACTAGTAGTGTGTGCTAACTAGTTAAAAGGTAAACTTCCACCCTGACCTGCTGAAACCAGAGGATGTAAGCTGATGACTTTTACACAATCAAGGAACATATTCATATGACACAAACTGGAAACTGCTCTCTCCAATCAACCCCTGCAGACAGCACAGGCTCTTCACTCTGTCACAGTGTGGGACAGATCACAGAAGGCTGAGACAAAAATCATAGAAAGAAAGGACCGCAGACAGGAACGTGAAAGATCCATTATTCTGTAATATTGAGTATTTAATAAAGGAACAAGGATGAAATGGTCATTAGAGAATTACTCCACTTTTGTTTTTAAAGATGTAGACACAGTTTGTCCTAATGTGTAAATGATGTGGGTGAAAGGCTAAAAAGCTGAGCATAAAAGAAGTGACTAAGAAGGACTGAATCTGAAGAGATTTTGCAGCAGTCATGGGGGCGCCTAGAAGTCAAAAACTAGATTTCGTAGCTATCGATGAGGAGCGGTCCCAGTAAATACCCCATCCTTTCTGTTGGGTTCGTTGAAGTTCTGTACTCTCTGGGTAATGTCTGAAGTCTAGACCAGGTGTTACTCAACTTAAAACCCAACATTCAAACTGTGATTGTATTAAGGCAGTTCTCCTATATTTTAACAGAAGCAAAGTAAATCCTCTTTTGAGCATTACAACTTTATCCCAAGCCTTTATAATTTTTTCACATATAATGTCCAACAGTCATTAAAAAATTACCATACCTAGCAGGGAATTCCTATGTATTGATAATGGCTTATTTCTTTGTTTATTGGCTATACTGGTAGGCTTATTCTGTGCAAATTCATATAACTATTCAGTATTATTCATACATATGTCTGTGTTTAAAAGTCCAATAAAAATTTCAAAGACATGGAAACAACTTAAATGCCTATCAATAGTAGATGATTATATAGATTGTGTTTCATGCATACAATGGATAATATATAGTCTAAGAACAAATTACTGTTAAAAATAATTACAAGGATGAATTTCACAAACATAAGGTTCAATATAAGAGGTCAAACATAAGACAGTACATATTATATGATTCCAAGTATATAAATTTCAAACATAAGCACAATCTCTCTAGTGTGACAGAGTCCAGATAGGAATCACTTTTGTAAAGAAGGACTAGGGATCATAAGGCTGGGCTTCTAGGATGCTAATTAATTTCTGTTTCTTGTTCTTAGCAGTGATTACATAGATGTGTTCACTATGTAAAAATTCATTAAGCTGCATGACTATAGTTTATGCACCTTTCTGTGTGTAAATTCTCCATGAAATAAGATGCATGGACACACACACATGTGTGCACAGATGAATATTAACATATATAGATTCAAATATCATCTGATTAAATGAAATGCAGATAATTTTATTTTATCCTTTTTCCTTTTATATATTTTCCAAATTTCTCCAAGATGGCTATATTACTTTTCTTAAAAAAAGCAGTTTGACAAATGTCATTTTTTAAAAGTAGTTTTAAAATTAAGACCAGTAAAAAGATGTGTTTCTGCAGTAGCATCAATTCCTAATCTGCCTAATAAAAATTGGCAGCCTAGAGCCAAAATCTAAGAGTTGCCACTGACTTTCCTTCAAACAGCTTGACCTCCTTATGCCAGCCTATTTGTATTTCTCTGTTAATCCACTGTACTGGTTTTCACCCTATTTAAAAGTTCCATTCTTGACACTATGGAGTAGGATATTTTCAGACTATTCTGGGTCCTCAACGACTGTGGACTTTAACCGAGTAATACAGAAAATAAATGGATCACTAGGTAAACTAAGAAGCCTAACAAGTCGGCCATTTTTGTGCTAACAGGGACTGAAACTTACTGATCATATGGATGTACTTCTTTATACCTTAGTTATTTTATATTGTATGAAGAATATCCATGTCTCTGGCATAAATATAAAATAATAAACACAAACAGAATAATTTTAAGATTATATATTTCTTGAAAAGTGAAAACTGCTTACATCAGAATCACTTAATCATTAAAATACCTAGGCTATACATTAGACCTAGGTCTCTGTTCTTAAAATCTTTTGAAATAGTTACAAAATAGTTACAGTTAATTGTTAAACAATCATGCACATTTTTTTTTGTATTGGTTCAGAAAGATGGCAACAATGTGCTTCAATATGGATCTCTGATGTGTAGAATGCATCTTATTCTATACAATAAGAATTTATCTTATTAAGAACAGATTTTTAGTAAGGTAAATCCAAGTATTAGGAAATCAACTCAGATCAGTTTACATAGATGAAAAAGAACAATGTCAGCTAATATATTCTTACAATTACTTTAAAAATCAATTTATATTATGCTAACTAAAGAAAAATGATAAGATTCAAACTATAAGACCTAATAAATGAAAGCCTACTTGTTTCCTATTTAGGGAATTGGCCTTATTGCTAACTTTCTCAAAAGTTGCATCAACTTTTGTTCTACTAGCTGGAACTAGTTGCATTTTAGTATTTCTACCATAAGTGATCATTTTTGTGATCATAACTTATTTTAACTATAATATAGTATAGATTTTATTTTGTTTTAAATCATGATGAATCCTCACAACATACATTCCATTCTCAACAATGCAAGCAGATATTTCTGCTGTTGAAAGCAATTTGAAGGCACATTTATTTAAAAAAACTAGTATGGCTCTGAAATGAAGATATTAATATACCATCTTTGGTTTAATATAGTATAAAAATGTGAGATATAATATCAGAGTCAAAAAAAACCCAGATGTATATTCACTTAGATTTTTTTAATTCAAAAGAACATATTTTTTAAAAACATATTTTATAATCTTTAATTTTATATTATGGACTTTGTTGAATCCATCAAGCCTATTTCTTAAATTAGTAGAAACTTGATTTTACTAGAAGATACTTAGGATATTCAAAATGTATCCATTCTCCAGCTGCTGAAGATATAATCATCATGATGATTTTCTATTGCTGTGGGTAGATCTACATGAAAATACATACTCATAAACTGACAAACAGAAAAATGTGGACTATATGTTATACAACTGAGAAATAGAGAAAGCAATGATGTAGCTGCCTTTTTTTTGTCGATGTATAAAATGATTCACTTTTTAAAATGTTCTTTAACAGTAAGTGTTGAAACTAATGTTTATTAGTACATCCAAAATTTCTTTCAATAAAAATGGGAAGTTTGGGACAATGAGGATGTATAGTTTAGGATTTGATTATTTTTGTTTTAGATCAATAAGGAAAAACATATATTCTAATATGGGCATACTCTTTAGGCAACACTAATTTGAAACAATTTTTAAAATTCTTACCTAGAAATCATCCTGGTGTTTTAACAGCAAGAGCTATAACATCAAGTCATCCTGATTCAGATTATAAAGGTCCTTTCACAGTGCAGAGAGGATGCCCTTCCTACCAGTAAGGCTGACCTGGGAGGCTTTCTTTCCTTCTGAGGAAAAAAGAGTATAAAATGCCTGCCAAAGAGGGGACTTTCTCCCTACTCTGGATTATGACAAGAGGAGAAACAGAGATGACAAAGAGTGGGATGCGAAAGTCATCCTCTTCATCCACCTCCTCACTACTACTCTGATTACATCTGAAGAGAAGAGGCATTGTTGAACAATTTTGAGGAAAGTGGTGATAGGAATTGATGAAGTAAGAGAAGTCTGGGTGAAATAGTGGCAGAGTTTGTGAAACACACAAACCTCAAGAGAATTTTCATCGAAAATCAGGTTTAATAGGATATGGCAGTGAATATACAGCAATGGTAGAGAGAGGCGGTGAAAAAGAGAAGCTTGGTTTTGTGTGTGTGTGCAGCTCAGGAATCCTAAAATTCCCAAAGACCCTGAAGACCTGAGGGATCTTCATGTGAGCAAGGTCTTGAATAGGGACAAAGGACCCTGATGGCCAAGGCCAACAGCAATCAGCCCTCAGAGGTAGTAGATGCCACCAAATTTTCAAAAGGTCATTAAGGAACCAAAGAAGCCAGCAGACTGGAGATCAAAGCAGACACACCACACAGACCAGAGACCAGCAAAGACGGACAGCATCTGAGCTGGTTCCCCTCCTCCCAGCATCAAGGACTACAAAACACATCCCACATCCATGCAACAGTTCTAGGATGGGGGCAGGGAAGAGAGGAAGAACACTATTGGAAGCTTAATTAGTGAGTATTTACCTTGAAAGATTTTTTAAGACAAAAGAGGCTGAGACCTCTTTTAAGCAAGATTAAGTATACCAAGCCTGCCTCACCCACACAGAGCAAGCACACAATACTGTCTAGACAGCAGAGTGGGGCTCATGGGGAAGATTAGAAGAGGTATAAAAAATAAACAAGCTTTGTTTTCTCTGCACATCTGAGTGTAGTGTGAGGAAAACACATATTTTATAATATATAATATATTAATATTATATATTACAAATATATTTTATTATATATAATATAAATGTAAAAAACTATTAGAACATTATAAATTATTTCACTTAAAAATCACACTTCAGGAAGATGTTTTCAGAAAACACTAGAATATCGGCATCTTATTCCCAACTACCAAGAAATATAAATGTATGTTTTTCAGAGAGAATGAAAAGTGGATGATTCTTTTTTTGATTATTTCTTTTTATAAAAGTTTACACTCAAAGAAACATATCACAGTTAAAAAAAACTACCAGGATACACACACACACACACACACACACACACACACACACACACAAACATACATATATATGTATAAATGTGTAACTTACATATATGCATATATACATACATATATATATAAACACACATATATATAACTATCATTATTTTACTTTAACATTTTATTAAACCAATTATATTGGAATCTGTTATTTGTATTTCACACGTTTTTCTTGCACATATATTTTCCTTTTGCTAGTGTTTCCTAAGATTTGATTAAACAGTTTAACATTCAACTTGTAGATTCCAATTGTTTATTGATATTTTCATGTTTAAAAGACATTTAGGGAATATTAGTTTAAGGCCAAGCAAAGATGCTAAGCTTCCTGCCAATCTGAAATTATAAAACATTGTAGTGCTCACTATAAAAGCCGTAATCAAGTAACTCAAGAGCATTCTACAGATAGCAAAAACCATGACATAATCAAGTTATCTATCACATATTTTAAGGAGGAAAACAATATTGCTAAACAAAAAGAATCTGTGCAGAAAGATCCGTACCACAGAACAACTTTGTATTTTGAATTAGGATGCTTGCCAGTTGGGAAATGACAGCTTACATAATTGTTTTAAGAAAAACAAATGAAAAACAAATCCTGGTCATTATTTGCATATGTATATCTTTCACTGTGATTTGCATGTTTACATCTTTTGCTGTGTTATTGGTTGATCCACACAACCACAATCCAGAAGCCCTGCTTACTAGCTATACATCAGCTCAGTGTGGCAACTCAGGAAAAAGTAAGACATAAAAGGAAATATGTTTGATGTGCTTTCTGATAAAGCATTAGGTCCACATGGAAAACGTTTTCCTGACATCCATCTTTACCATTTGCTGTTCTGGAATGGAGGCGCCTAGCACTGGAGTAGCTATTTTGAGACCATTAGGTAACAAGGGTAAAGGTGAAAGTAAACACATTATAAATGGCAAAGCAGAAGATAGAGGCAGGCATTCCTGATGGTATTACTGAGGCCCTGCACAGCCCTTTCTTGTCAACTAGATTTCGTTTTGTTTTTTTTTGAGACAAATAAGCCCTGCTTTCTTTAAGCTACTATTGTTCAGGCTTCTTGCTACTTATAGGCATATTCCTGAAGGCCAATGTTGCCATTGATTATTAAAGAACCTTAGAGCATGTCACCCTAAAATGTGTCATTTGACATATTGACTATTTTGAGTTAAAGGCACTTGAAAAATAGCACATACAGGAAAAACACTCTGATCTTCATTTTCTTAAAAACAGCATATGAATTTCCTATATGAAAGATGTCTTCCCTGTTAGAAAGAGTAAGATTTTTATTATCGACCAGAACAAGGTGAGACCAAGATCATTTTTATAAAAACAGACCTCGTTAAAATAATTCCTATCATACTTTAGCTTCCCCACATAGTTTAATAACTTCTTCACAACTGCTCCTGTTCAAAGTAACACAAAAGCAAGTTGCTTTAACAATTTCTTGCATTTTCATTTCCTTATGGGAGTTAGCATGTCATGAAAAACCTACGTAAGTAAATTTATATGTCATCTCCTGTTAATCTTTCTTTGTCAGTTTAATGCTCAGATCCAGACAGAGACCTTAAGAAAATCAAGGAAAACCTTTTCTTCCTTGGCATTGTTAATCAGATTATATCAGATTATATGTATCACATAGTAAAATCTGCACATATTTTACAATAAGATGTCTTTTTAGCTTAGACTTGTTGGACCTAAATTCAGCTGAGAAGTAAAAATGTTACAGGTAGCTTCTAAAAAGAGGAAATAAGTGTATATTCCTTCAAAAGAAAAAATGCATTGGGAGCTATCCTGTATGATATTATAAATAAATTAGGTAAAATGTAATTTCTTAAAGAACTTAAGATACATAAAATTTTCAAAGTCTATTGCAGCTAAAATGTGAAAATATTGGAATAAAGAATGGTAGCAGCTTTCTTAAGGAATTTGCAAGTTCATAAATTTGCAAGAAATTCCAAATGAATGTAATTATTAAAATCTAGAAAATATGACTTTATCTATATTCATGGTAGCTGATGGCCTTGATAGTTACAATAATGTATAACATGAGATATTTAACTTAAATGTATACATTTTTTCAACTATCACTGACAGTGAATTTAGAAAATAGAAAAATATGTAAGAATATCAATAAAGTTCCCTTGATTGTCTATAAAAATTAGAGATAGCCAACAGAATATGAGCTCTCTTCTCCTCTAACTCCATGTTGGGGTAGTGGGAGAGGTATGTTTTTTTAAAATTTTCAAATGGTAGCTTCTCAATTTGTTTCATACAAATTGCTGGTAACCATTTGAAGAAAAGTCCATCCACAAAGAGTCTGTGCTCATTAAACATCTTTCTTGAAACCCATAATTATTAAGGTCAAAACATTAATTTTACTGTAACTCTACAAAGGACATAAGCTTAAATGTATAGACAAGTCTCACGTTTGCTGTCCAAATGTGAGACTAATATTATCTCATAATCACTTTCTTCTTCAGAAAACTATATATGTCCATTCTTACAATTACAAAATGATAAAATTAACTGAAGAAGCTTTTTTATGAAATCTAAATGTTTCTTTGTCTATTGATAATTCTCAATGCAAACATTTGAAAACAAAACAAATTTACTTTAAAAGATCAGGATTTTAAAACCAAATGAGATCTTATTGATGAGAAGTATGAAAAACTGGGCCCCTAGAAATGTTAAGTGATCCTGGGCAGGGAGAATTGAGATACACAATAACCAAAAAGAAAATGTTCTAAGGAACTAAAACAGTAACTTTAACCCTAAACTTTTCATTTTCTTAAATTGTCAGACTTTTTATTTATTTTTATTTTTTTTTGCATTTTTAAATTTTATTCATATATACTATATTATATTGGGATACAATAGGTATACAATGTTATATTGGTTTTAGGTGTATAGCATAGTGATTATTTTTCAGTTTTTTATGTGGGCAAAACCATAATTAGTAAGATTGAGACTATGACAGATATCTTCATATACTATTTCCTTTCAATATGTTTTCTTGTCTAAGAAATTTTATTTTTAAGGCCTGACTTAAAAGGTCCTAGCTAATATCACTGCCATTAATTTTTGATTTGCAATATGACATACCTCAAAGCTATTACATGATGTTTTCTCTTTGTACTGTCCCAGTGGTTGATCTGAATGATCCTTATTAATTTTACTTTGCGCTCATTATACCCCTTACTCAATGCTGAATAATTACTCCTCCTACTTAGGATTTCCTCCTCAGTTATTTCCTAGTCAAATTACCCATTAAACTTTCATCATTAGTCAAATTCTTCAATTTTTTTTCTTCTTGAGATTCACACTGACTTCTTTACATACATCTAACACAGGTACACCTTAATCAAGGGCAATGCATATAGAAAAGTTAATCTTAGATTTTATTTTTCTTCACTCAGCTAATATTTAAATACTATTAGCCCCACTATTTACTAAAACTGTTCTGATATTTTATATTCCACATGTAGCTGCTTATCTAATGTCTGAAAAATATCAAATAGCTTATTATGGAAAGGTTGTAATTATCAAATATAATTAGCTATCTGTATCTATTTTTCTAATTTTTCATTAAGATGCTAAAATTATCCAGGTTAATTATTTTATGCATTTTTATCATGGTAAAATTTTCTCAGCAATACTTTTCAAATGAGTGTGTGGAAAGCATTGGATGTACCTCCAACCAGTCTATCACATAAATCAAAGAAGTGATTTCGGGTAAACTGAGATAGGTTGCTATTTGAATTAGGAGAGCCTTGCCCATATACCTATACAGAATTTGAAATTATTTCCAGAGACCAGTGCTGAGTTGGCTTACAAGCACTTGACTGCTACCTTGTGGCATTACAGCACAATGGTGTCTTACCAAAGTTGAAATGTTAGAATGCTTAAAAAATCAGAATAACAGTGTTTGTGGACATGGTAGTTTGAAGAATGGAATCAAATGATTTAAAGTCATTCCAGAATGACTAAACAATTTATTCATTCTTAAAATTGATTTTTAGGTGCTGAGGAAATAAAACTTATCTTTTCAAGAAATATGGGCCCATTTAAACAATTTTAATTATCAAAGATTAGTCAGGATTCTGAGTGCTATTTATAAATAACCTGTAGAATCAATCAGCTTGCTATCCTAAGCACTTCAAGGTATTTATCCACAAATTCCTTTCTCTCCCCCAATCAAAACCTCCCTCCTCCCACCACAAAAATACCATTAAAGAAACAGGTCCCAACATAGTAAAACTGCCAGAATGCATTTCAGAGTGCTGTGCTGATGATAGACACAGTGGAATACTTAGACTAAGTTCATTTTCCCATAAGTTGGGTAAGAAGGCCAATCACAAGTATCTATTCTGTCAAGTCAAAAGTTGCAAGAATCTCAAAACCAAATTGAGAGTACAGGTTCATCTGTTAGAAGAGCTCACTGGAGAAAGTGCACTTCTCCAGGTAATTAGAAGTGCTGCAGGACAGAAAGATTAATTCATGAATTCATGACTGTAGTAGATTGTTTAAAGTGTAAAACTTCAAGGCTCTCTCAGGTTCTTTAATAATATTTATTTAAACCCTTACCAGGAAGAGTACTCACCCCGTCTGGCCTGCCATCAGAAGCAGTGACGATCAGAATGTAGCGATCGGTGCTTTCTCTGTCCAGGGCTTTGCCTAAGGTTAGAATCCCAGTACTAGTGACAGAGAAAATAAATAAATAAAACACAAAAAGGAATTATGTCACAGGGAGACTTCCTACTATCATGAACTACTTTTTCCCTTCAGCAAACATAGCTTGAGTATTAAAGGTTTTTCCCTTCAGCAAACATATCTTGGGTATTAAAGATGTATGATTCCAGGATTCATGTTGAAAACTGAAAATGGCTTTTAAGGATGTTGAGCTTCTTAGCAGTAATGAAAAACTGCAACAGCGAATGATGAAACTGAGTTGATTCTTTAGCCTCCAAGAAAAAAACAAAACTATGCTTAAATCATGCCAGGAAGAAAGATATCTATCTTGTTTGTGATTACTTTAAAGGTAAGAGACCCCATGAATTTTCAGCTGTTCCTTAAATCCTTAGAGTGAAAAATAGCTTTTGATAACTAATTTATATCATTTCCATTCATTGTCACATATGTGTCTATTATGGAGCTACAAACAGCTAAATTCTATCCTTGACAAATTCTAGTGATTAAAATTCAGTTTTCCTTCTTTCTTCATTTCAAAATAATTAAGAACTGTAGACAATTAGAAAATATACAGTGAAATACTAAAACTTTTATAGATATTATGATTATGTTATAATATCTCCTTTCATTATCTGTATAACCATATGTAAATATATGTCATTATTTTCAAAAAAGGAATCAGGCTGCATGATTTATTCTTCTTCAGAAAATGTTATGAGTATTCACTCTCTCATGTTATAATTTATGAAGTCAAACTTTTGTCAATAAACTAGCAATGTTACCATTTTGCTATTCTTTCAAAATTTAAGTATTTCTTAATTTAACTGGGTATATATAATGGATGATGAACAACTTTGGGCAAATTCTCACACTTAGAATATTTTTAATACTACTACCTTTCCAATGCCCAGAATAAATGCTTCCTAATATTTAAGACTTTCTTTTCCAATGTAATTTGTTTCATAACAGTTTGGTCACGTACTGCTCTCTAAAAAAAAAAGTTCCACATTTACATCTGAAATATTACAAACTGATATTGTACATGACATTTTAATTAGGGCTTAATAAGCATCTGCTATGGTGGATTATATTAATATAATAAAACATTAAAATATCAAGTGTGAAAACATAATTTTTTTCTAACTGATAAAAAGATTTCATTTTAATGCAAGTGCTTTATTGTTATAGTGGAATTTAAGCAATTCACAGCACATATGGTAGTTGAGTACAGAAAGTCAACACCAATGAATCAAAATGTGAGTCATACTTACTTTGTTTTATTTTGTTGTGGTTGTTGATATGGACTTAAAAAAAAGTTCTAAACATATGGTATGACTCAGAAAAACTGACTTTGCTTCTTGTACATTTTTAAATGTTTTGTTGAAATAACTGAAGACCAATTCCCAGAGCAGTTCACAACAATCAGGTTTGGATCAACTTCCCATACCACAGATGGTTCAAATAATGTCATTGTAAAATGACAGTCAAAGAGAAAAGTATGACATTTATAGCTTCTGAGGTTTATTCACAAGAATAACTTAAGAAATAAGGTATCTGAAAACTTGGCCATGGAGTAATGAAAGGAAGAAGAAAATTGAGTTATTGTTTTCCAGTTTTTTCCCTTGGTTTAAGGCTCAAGACTTTGTAGTCTTCCTTGTACATTAACTTAAAAAAATCACTAGAAATATATATAGTATTCCAATTTAGAACCATATTATATAGAAATAGCTAATTTTTCATAGTTATTATTGTGGAGATAGTCCTCTGTTTAAGAAAATGTGCCTTGTGTCCTAGTGGAGTATGTAGTTAGATAGGATATTTGGGAGATGGAGGAGAGGAAGAACAGGTGGTGTCTTTTGGTATTCATAGCTGCAACACTAGTTTATGGGTACACATAAGTATCCTTTTATGAAATTCCAGAAATAGTGGCAAGGAGGAGTTTTACTACAGCTAGAAGGAAGCTTTAGAGCAGGATACATGAGTGCATTTAAGAATGAAGTAAATCTTTAAATTAAAAACATGTAAGAATTACTTCCAATAGAACATCAATAATAATGCTACTTAAATTTTACGTGATCTTAAATATCGCGCAGGAGTGATGTCAGTGAAAATGGTGAAGTAGGCAGCTTCCAGACCTGGTCTTTTCACAGAAAACACTGAAAAATGAAGGAAAAAGCAAAAGAACCAACTGTGGCAGAACTCTGGGCAACAGTTAAAGGTTGACCACAACCAAATGAAAACAGAGTCAAGAAAAAGGCAAGAGAAATGGTCGAAAGCTTTGTAGCATTTTCACTTGTCCTTTCCCCACCCTTCCCTGGCTCAGAGTGGTCTTAAAGATGGCATTCAACATTCGCAGTATGACACCCTGGTCCCTGTTTCTAGGGGGAACAGAGCTAACCTTATTCACCAAGAACTGTTTGTCCACCCCCACTTCTCTGGAGGATGCCAGAAGGAATGACACATGGTGTTTTTCTTTGTTCTGCCTAACTCAGAACTCACTCATGGTGGAAAACCAGTGGGTCTTCCTGGAAAGCGTTGTAAAGCAGGGAACAACCTGTAGCCATCCAAGGCAAGAGATTTAGGTGAAGGCATACAATAGAGGTCCCCAAGCTGTGGTATGTGTTTGGGAGCTGGGTAGAGAATTTCTTCAGAAATTAGGCCATTTGAAAGTGACCATGTATAGTGGGGAATAGAACAGAGTGACAGTTGAGAAAGAAATCCATACATCTGTGGCTAATTGATTCTCAACAAGGATGCCAAGCTCATCAGTGGGGGACAAATATTTTCTTCCATAAATGGTGCTGGGATAATTCAAGATCTATATGCAAAAGAGTGCAATTGGTGTATCTTACACCATTTACAAAAATTAACTCAAGATGGATTGACAATCTGAATATAAATACTGAAACCAAAAAACTCAGACAAAAATATAGTAGTACATCTTCATGATACATTCTTAAATATGACACCAAAAGCATGAGCAGCAAAAGGAAAAAAAATAGATATATTGGACTTCATCAAAATTAAATTTTGTGCATCAAAGGATAATACTAACAAAGTAGAAGATATCAAAAAACTTACAAAATGGGAGAAAATAGTTGCAAATCATATATCCAAAAAGGGTCTGGTTCCCAAAATATATAAGGAGCTCTTCAAACTCAGCAACAAAAAGACAAACCAATTAAAAAGTAGGCAAAGGATTCAAATAGATATTTCACCAGAGAAGATATACAAATAGCAAACAAGCACCTAAAAAGATGCTCTATATCATTAGTCATCAGGGAAATACAAATCAAAACTACAATGAAATATCACTTCACACCCACTAGGATGGATAAAATAATATATAATGAAACAAAGCCAATGGACAAAAAAATCACACTGACAAAGATGTGGAGGAATTTGGGACCTTGGGACACTGCTGGTGGAAATGAAAAATGGTTTAATTACTGTGGAAAATAGTCTGGCAGTTCTTCAAAAAGTAAATGTAGAATTACAATATGACCCAACAATTCTAATCCTGGCATTCAATTAGTTGAGAACAGAAAGTACAAAAGAATTGAAAACACGTATTTAAGCAAATGTACATATATGTTCATAGTAGCAGTATTCACAGTAACTAAAACATAGAAAAACAGCCCAAATACCTATTCATTTATGAATGGATAAACAAATCACTATGTAGACATACAGTGGAATATTATGCAGCTATGAGAAGGAATGAAGTACTGATACAGACTTCAGCATAGGTGAACATCAAAACATTGGGCTAAGTGAAGAGAGCCAGGCATACTGCATAAAAGGTCATGATGATATGACTATCCAGAATAGATAAATCCATAGAGACAGACACCAAATGGTTGCTGCCAGGGGGTGAGGTAAAGTCAAGTAGGTAGCAATGCTTAATGGGCTGGCTTTGCTTAGGAAATGATAAAGATATCTGGGAACTAGGTAGAATGGGTAGTTGTGCAATAATGTGAGTCTTCTAAATGCTACCAAATTGTTTACTTTAAAATGGTTAATTTTATTTTATGTGAATTTCACCTCAGTTATATTAATTATATTGCATGGAATTCCCTCACCAAACTTGATGGCTATATTCCTGAAATATATCATGCTTGACAAAATCTAGCTCTTTCAGATAATGAGTTGGCATGCCTAGCCATAAAAATGGTGTTTAAACAATGTAAATAAAAAGTAGTGGAGAGCTTCTACTTCCTAAAAAACCAATCTGCTAGCATTTAAAACCTGCTCCTGTAAGGACACATTTCCCCAACTGCATTGTTTATTAGGAAATACTGCATCAGCACTATATGGACTGAAAGATTATCTCACAAGTTTCATGCTTTCTATTCTAAGCTTCCTTTAAACTTTTTCAATACATTCTACTCACTGCAATTTAATATCATTTATACTTACATATGTCTAAGCCTTCAACAGCTTTATCATATTGCTTTTGGGCATCAGGTTTGAGGCCTTACAACGATACTTAGAGTTTCTTCAAAATGTTACATAGAGAATACTTCAAAATGTGTGATTGTGTCAAGTTTAATATGGTATCCCACGCTAAATAGTAATTAGTGGTTAGTAAAAACAGACCATTAGAAGCTGGGTATGGTGGCAGTTCAGGGAAAACATGATGGTGGGCATGGACTAAGGTGGTATAGAGTGAAAGGTATGAGGAGTAGTTTTATTTGAGTATATATTTTGAAAAGTAGACCTGATGGAAAGAAAATGCATATCATCTTTCTTATGTTACTTAATCTTGATTGTAATCATAAAGTTCCAAGTAAAATGAAAAACATAATCAAGGTTTAAATTTAGTGTCAAAATGAATTTAGTCTCATAGAAAGACATTAAAATGTCAGTGAAGATCAAAACTTTTCCAATAAAATTCTAAAAAGAGCAGAAGTAATTCTATGAAGCTCTTTTGTTTCGCATTTAGCCTTCAAGTGTTATATCACTTAATGAGGACAATGTATAAGAATTCCTCAACCTCGTGCATTAAATAACTTAAATATTGGCTATCTTACTCATAAAGGAAGTTTACTTACATCTTGTTTAAATGTTCACTTATATGTGAATGTTTGCTGAATAAATATTTGCTGGATTAAATGCAACTATCTACAGAGACACTGAAAAGTTATTAATATAATGCAAAACTCTACAGAGCAATACAGAGCTGGACATTTAAAAACATGGTATTGAATGATTTTCATGATGAGTGGTTGTGATTTTTAAGGAACAAGTCCTTTTCTTTAAAGAGTGAGTTTCTCTCTTGGCTGTATGATAATCCAATTCATTAAATTGTATATAACAATTCAACACTTTGTAAATCCACACTAGCAATAAAATGATTATTCATCACTACTAATATTTGTTAACAAATTATAAAAACTTTTTGGCATATTTTTATTTCAATGGAAAAAGGTAAAGTAATGGTACTGTAATGCTGATTATTGATAAAATTTGCATCATAGCATAAAATAATATTTAAACAATGAACATGTACTTTGTTGTTGATTAAAGAAGTTAAATGCAATCAAAACACTGTGTGAATTGAAATGTCTGATAAGCAGAACATTATTTCTTTTCTATTGTTTTCTGAAGGAGTACCCAAATTATTCAAATCCTTAAAACTCACATGGACATGGTGGTACAAATTTGCACAAGTATCCCAGAAGTTCTGAAGAGGGAAGGGATTGAAATTTTAATTTTTTCCCCATTCCAAATGTGTTATATTGCTAATGATCCAGGCCAACCTAAAAATATCAGTGAGAACAACAGCAATGGGGTGGCTGAAATGAAATGGCCACAGGATAGAAGGCAATGGGCCCAGTGTACTGGACCCTGAGTCAAGAACATTCACCAAAAGAGACTATGCTGCCATCACAGCGACTTTGCCTAGTCTAGCTGTCCTGGCAGCAGTTTGCAGTTAAAAACATGACTGCATGAACTGACTTAAGAACTGTGGTATTAAGAATTGTGGTCAGTGTAGAAAAAGAGGATGCTGCATTGAATCTTTTATACCTTAGGGGCCTCTGTGACCCAGCTGGGTGTCTTGTTTCAAAAGCAGAGATGAGAGAATAGAGAAACACTTGCTAAGGATCGCAACACAAGCAGAGAATTTTCTTTGGTAAAACTGGTGGCTCATCAGATTTCACAACCAGTTGTCCTTACTTCCACATCAAGTGAAAACCAGGTAAACTCAGGAATGGAAATCTTAACAGAGTAAGACCTGGGCTGCCTGCTTCCCAGGGCAAGTGAGAGCTTCCTTGTTGTCTTTTTTTCTCAACAGCTTTATTAACATATAATTTACACATCATCAAATCCATCCACTGCAAGTGTACAATTCAATGAATTTTATGATCTATTAAGAATTCTTCAACCATTACACAATGAATGTTAAGACATTTTCACCCCTGTTCCCATTAGCAGTCACTCCATAGTCAGCCCCACACCCTAGCCTCAGGCAACCCTTAGTGTACTTTTTGTCTCCAGAGATTTGCCTATTCTGGGAATTTAATACAAATGTGATCATTAAATATGTGGCCACTTCTTTCACCAAGCATGTTTCCAAGGCACATCCATGTTGTAGCATGTTTCAGTACTTCATCCCCCTTTATTAATGAATAATATTCCATTGTACGGACACACATTTTGCTAATCCATTCATCTATAGATAGACATTTGGGTTGTTTCCACATTTTGTTGTTGTAAATAATTCTGTTATGAACGTTTTTGTGCAACTTTTTATTTGAATGTTTCATGTTTAAAAAAGCAACTTTTTATGTTTTCATTTCTCTTGAGTAGATAAAAGGGGAATTGCTGGGTTATATGGTAATATTCTGTCTCATACTTACAGGGAATGTAAACTGTTTACCACAGTGTACATTCTACACTCCCGCCAGAAATACGTGAGGATTCTGCTATCTCCACATCCTCACCCATATTTGCTGTTGACTTTCTCTTTTCACTATAGCCATTCCAAGCAGGTGTGAAGCGGAAGGCCATGATTTAATTTGCATTTCCCTAGTTACTACTAAGCATAAGCCTATTTCCCCATGCTATTGACCATACATGTATCTTCTTTAAAAAAACGGCCATTCAAATTCTTGTCTATTTTCATTTATACTATTTCTGTTTTTTAATTGTAATAGTTCTTTATATAGTCTTGATATACATACTTAAAAATATTTTCTCCCAGTCTATGCTTATATTTTACTTTCTCAGTGGTGTCCTTTGAAGCAGATTTTTTTTTCAAGTTTTAATGAAGACCAACTTACCAGTCTTCTCAGTAATCACTTGTGCTTTTTGTGCCACATCTAAGGAAGCACTGCCTAGTCCAAATACTGAAGACTTACTTTTGTGTTTTATTCTAAGACTTATATAGCTTTATCTCTTTCAAATCTTTCTATAATCCAATTTGAGTTAATTTTTGCAAATAATATGAGGTGACCATTCAAATTCATTCTTTCACATGCTGTCTCAGCTTGATTTGTTGGAAAGATTATTCTTTTCTGATTGGATCGCCTTGCCCCTTTTTTGGGAAATCAATTGACTATAAATGTTAGGGGTTATTTCTGGACTTTTAAGTTTACCCTAGTGACCTCTACATCTATTCTTGTACCAGTACCACACAATCTTGATTACTGTTAATGCGCCCCTTTTAAAAAGCTTTCTTTCTTTAAGTGTGATTATAAATTATAGCTAATTTATGATTTGTTATGTACCTATGGGGGAAATTCAAAATAGTTATCTTTCCATTTTTTAAATGGAAGTTTACTCATTTGTGCAATCTAAAGGCTTGGGAAATACTGTTTCCAAGCATCCTATTCATGGTTGTAACATCCTATTCAATGTGAAATTGCAGGTGTTGCTCACAAGACTAGGTGACCCCTATTCGACATGAGGTGTCACATGTTCCTGGGCTGAAGCAGTACCTAGTTCACTTGTCAAAATTTTCACTTTATAATCCTGGGCTAGGTGTAGGTTTCCATTCTTTCAGGGAGTAAAATTCATGCATGGCCATACAGAAAACCTCAGAAAGGTAGCAAGCTTTAATCACCAGCCACAGGCCACAGCAGAATAGATATTTTGCTATTGCAGAAGGGAGGCAAATGATCTCTCTACAATCCTAAATGCTTCTTTAATGCTGCTTCCCAGTCATCTCAATAGTTAGGATTAACTTTATCTCTGATATGTTCAGACAGGTGAGCAGACTGGCCCTGATAGAGACCTCAAAGAAGCTTAAATGGACATGCAGTATTTTTGTGCTAATTCATTTGTCAAATATAAAATATACCCACATTACCGAAAAATTGAAGGATGGACCTTGGTGGTCTTTTAGTGGGTTTGAACTACACTGTGTCTGACAAAATTCCCTTCAAATAAACAATTTAGTGCCAAGTTACTCTTTGTAGAAATGCCCTTGTTATTATGAGTTGCTGACAACTTTAAAAGGATCTAATTAATCCCCATCTGCAAGTGAAATGTTTCCACCTCACTGGATTTTACCTAGGAGAAAATGTTTAAAATAAATAGTCTTCTGGGTAAGACTTCTGGGTTCAGAATTATACCTCCCAGCTCACATTAACATTCATAGGAAAAAAAAAGGAAAATAAAGCTACAAACAGTTGAAATCGTCTGATTAGAAGTCTCTTCTTCTCCTGTTACCACTACCTTGTTTAACATTTTAAAAAGGAAAAAAATCAATTTAGAAATCATTTTTAACTTACGTTTCTGAAAGATTAAAAACTCTCTGAGGGTCTCCATTCTCAATGGCATATGTTATTGGGTCTCCCTCTCGATCAGTTGCCTTCAGAGAGAAAACATAATTTAATTATCAAATAATTGATATGACTCCTATTCAAACAGTGTAATACAGAAGCTTGGAACTAATAGACAGAATAACCACAATACTCTTAAAAAATAAAGATTTAAAAAGGAACTAATGGCAAGATGTAAAGAGTTTCATATCTGATCCTAGCATTTCTGTCATTTTTCTCATCTGAAGATAGTAACAATGAATAATATCTCTGAATGTATATAATCTTTCCTGGAGGGGAAATAGAGTAATGGTTTTCCTAAGGTTTATGTATTTACATTTACATGAGTCTTTCTCTACAATTTAAACAAATATGTTAAACTCTTCATAAATATTTACAGTATAGAGAAGTTATTTAATCCACTTTTTTTTCCATTTTCTTCTGAGATTACATAAAGTCAGGAAATTTTAAGGGTGAAGAATCCTGAATCTGGAACCAGAGAATGAATTCAAAATCAGGCTCCACTTACTAAATTGTGTAATTATTTTCAACTTCATTTTATGAATGAAGTTAATAGATATTAGAAGGCTTAATTGAAATATACTGTGTCTAGGCACACAGACTAACACCTGACACATTGTTAGTTTCTAATAAACATTATCCTTTTCTCCCCCTTCTCTCCTTCACTCAAGTCAGAGAAGGTGCAACTTACAGCTTCTGACTTTGAGTTCTAAGTTTCTCTTATTCAAGAAGAAGACACACACTCTAGTTTGTGGCACTGGAGTCTTGGATTTGACCTTCTAAACATCCAAGAGTTTTTTCTTTTGACGAGTCTGAAAATTCCCTTATGGAAGACATGGGCGAAGAAAGAAATCTGCATGATATAAAAGGGATGTGGGAGGGATCTGCCCAGGTAGAACCCTGAGGAGAGGGGAAATATCTGAGAAAGTGCTGGAGGAATTTTATTTATAGATCACTGGCCTGGCAGAGATACCAACCTTTCTGACTGACAGGTACTGCCCTAAAGTTGGCAGTCTTTAAGAAAAGGGTATTTGTGTGGGGTCCTTTCACTGACTAGACAGGAATGGCCTCAGCCATAAGAGCCTGAGTGTGAAATCCCATGCCCAGATTGACAGGGAGGCAGTGTTTCTACTGGTAGATCAGATGCCTTTGATATGCATAACAGAGCAGAAGTTATAAAATAGCTCTATTGGCTACCACAATGGAGATGGCCAGAAGCCTCTGTTGGGCTACAAAAACCTGAGTCCAGGGATGACTGAAAAATAACAGAAAATATTTACAAAATGCACGGTTTTGTGGGAGAAGCTTTGCAGGATTATCATTATAATTTTTTGCAGGATTGTTTAATCTATGCCCACTCTATGAAACACGTCCTTCACATGGCTTACATCCATCCTATTCAATATTTCAATTCCAAATTATTGGCTGCTGCTTTTCATTTTCCTTTGCTGATTTCTCCTCATTTCTAAGACATATTCACACCTGGCTGCTCTGAAGTTCTGTCCTCGGACCTTACTCGCTTAGTCACTTGATCCAATTGCAAAACTTCGAATACTATCCATATGTGGAAGACGCTCGTATCTCTAACCCAGTCCTTTCTTCTGAATTTCAGACACCTTCATTGCCTATTTGAATGTCCAATTAGCTGAAATGATAAGCATCCCCAATTTAAAATGCTAAAACTCCCAAATCCCGATCTCTTCCCACAGACTCCACCCCTCAAGAAAACAACAGCCTGCTTGTTAGGTCTTCATTATCCCACTGAACAGCGGCCTCATATTGAGACCTTAACTCCTCGTTCCTACTCCCCGAAGCAGCCGTCAGCAAATTCCATTGCATGTACCTTTAAATTAATTGCAGTATATGACAGTATCTGAACTCCTTCCCATACCACTGTCTTCTTCACAGATTATAATAGCCATCTTCCTGGCAGCCCTGCTTTCTCCCTTCTGCCCTCACTGCACTTAGTTTTTAATTAAGTAAAGTGACCATTTTTTTCAGTCCAAAATTTTATTTCTTTGGGTAATACTATTGTGTTATTAGATATACACACTCACAAATATACATACACTAAAATACATGGAATAAAATAAAATAGTAAAATACAATGAAATATAAAACTACCTAGGGCAATATCTTTCAAACATTCCATTTATATCTAAATCTAAAATATGAAATTCCATTAAATTAATTATAATGGAAGTTTAAAAGTGGCAAGTAAGAAACAAAAGAATTTTCAGAAACATACTCAGTGGGATTGATAGCAGTTGTTTGATTATTTTCCCTTGGTTTTCTGTTCTTTGTCAGACAAGTATTAGGGAAAAAAAGATAAAATGGGACTACAAATAATGATACTCAGTTCACTTTTTAAAGAAACGCAGTGTCATTTTATAGTAGAAGACTGCATTTTATCACTAAAAAGCTCACACTAAACATTTTCTGTTGTTTTTCTTTTTCATTCAGTTATTTTTACCTGTAATACTGTTACAGGTATTAAAAATTCCTTTTGGTTAGTTCACTGGAATAGAGTGGTTTTGAGAGAATTTATTGTTTTGAATTTTCATAAAAGAAGAAATAGATTCTGAAACAAGATAGCTTGTATAAATAAGTTCAAGTACACATTAATGTTGAACCTTTCTTCTAATGTATCAGATCTACTTCAATATTCAATATTATTTTTGTGGGATAAAGCACTGTGAATGCTGTGTTTTATTGATATAAGTCATTATTTTGTTATGTTACTAAAATAATAACAGAGATGAATTCCTTGATGCTTCTCAGTTTTTCAGCCAAATTGATTATGCTCAATCCGTGAGGTATCTTGAAATATTTCTTCAGTTTTGTTTGACCATTTAAATACCTCAGGCTTTCAAGGCTTGTGAAAGCCAATGAGCTGGCTACTTCATTCTTATGTGAGGTTCTGCCCATAATGGAAACATTGAAAAACCAGGATTTGGAAGGAAATCCTCATTTGATTGTTTTCTTCCTTTTATCCTCTTAAACCAATCCTTCCTTGTTGTTTCAGGATCCATAGCAAATGGTATAGTAATCAAGAAAGATTCATAATTTCTCAATCAACTAAGCAAGGCGGAATGGTGCTATGTGGATCAGAGTTCTGAAATCTAACCATTACAAGATAAATACCTTGTATCTCTACTTGCCAATATCTACAGAAACAAGTAATTTGTAAAAGAAATAATAAGAAAAATCAGCAGAAGTAATTGTTCTTAGAGAATTAAGATTTGATCATGTGCATCATTTGTGGCCTAAAATATATTTCTAAAAATACTAAAAAAATATATTTTCTATTTTTTAGTCTAGCCAGCCTTCTCTAAATGATAGGCAGAAATTTATATATGCTATTGACTAGTGAATCCTTTAGTTCAAATTTATTGACTAGTTACTGTATGGCAGAAACTATATATGTATGCTTTATCACACTTAAGCCTAAAAGTAACCTTATAGGCAAAAGGGAAATGCAAAAGACTTAGATTACATTCCTCTTTCCATCACCATTTCAATTAGAGTTCTGTATAATTTACAAATTGGAAGATACATATTTTTTATCTGGAGATAACAGTAATTGTTTCATCTTAAAAAGGGAGAGTGTAGTGCTATTTAATATTTTTTCATATCGTAACAGGAATTACTCATCCTTAGTACAAATACATTTCCTGTTCTTTTATTTTTGGTCAGTCAAATCCAATCTGAGCACTGCATATAAGGGCTGAGAAAAGTATGGGGGCAGTGGTCTTGCCTGGATTTATCACAGGAGTCACCCACCTGGGTCCCAGCCTGGCTGTACCATCTCTTCTCAGGCAAGATACCTAACCACAAAATAAAAATAATAATAACACAGAGAGTATTCACTCATTAAGTGAATTAATTAATTTAATTTTAGAATTTATTGAATACCCATACTGTGTTAAGCACTGGGGATTCAACAGAAAACAACACAGACAAACATTCTTCTTCTGTGCAGCTCGCATTGTAGTAGGGGGAGGCAGAGAACAAATAATTAAATAAAATGTAGAGATTTCAGATCCATCTAACTGCTACTAAAATATAAAATAATTCAGGAAGGTTGTATTGGGAGGGTAGGGGGAACATTTGCACAGAATACAGGTAATCAGGAAAACTATTAGGTAAATGTGAAGCTTTGGCAAACACTTGTAAAAGGTGAGAGAGCAAATCATGGGGAAAGGCATTCCAGGCAGAGGGAATATCAGGTGATAAAGCCGTGAGTGGAAACATGCCTTGCTGAGTTTCAGAAACAGCCAGAAAGCCTTAGACTATCTCCTGCTTTCTTTGGCCTCAAGTGAACAACCTAAGGTTAAATATCTCAGATTCAATAATACCTCTGGTTAAATGATTGAATATTGCTCACTTTGGATAGCTAGCAAGGAACAGAATTGGTTTGCCAACATGATGAATTTAGATAAAGCTAGTTTTTCTCTTAGTTTTCGCTTAAAGGGCAAAGAGTATCTTTAAAGATCAGATAAACTATTTTTTCCAGTCTGCTCAACCAGATTACTCACTGCATCTAAATTTAAGTCGCCCATTTTTCAGAAGCACCAACAGCAACACAAAAGTATTTATCTAAATAAGTAATGGGCTTAAACACCGGAAAATAGGGATTTTAGAAAAGAAAACAAATCTTCTCTAAACTAATATTCTGTTCATGTTAAAGATGAACACAGCTATCAAATGCCATCTGGTAGAGTGCACTTTATGAGCACAGAATGATTCTACACATTTCACAGGACATTAAGACAAAGTACCTGCCCTTAGGGATTCTAAAATAGATAAAAATCAGCGGATTTAGATGATCTTTTCTTTTCTCACTTAGGTAAACAAGTTCTGATTTATGTTATTAAACTACTTGAAAGCAAAAACTGAAGCTTTCAGTTTAGTACAGCAGTATTTCCAAAACTGTGTGTGTGCACTTCTGGTTATTAAATTGTTGGCCCTTCAACAAAATGTGTATGTTTATGAATAAATTTCAATATGAATTAATTCATACTTTTTA